ATCTCCAAATATGGATTACACTACTGATTTTACCAATATTGATGATGGTGGCTGAGGCGACCAGTCCACATACATGTAATTCAGCATTTATTCATGATGTTGGTGGTTTGATAATCTTTTTCGTCTTACTTTTTTGTATAAGATGAAACTCAAATATTTCCCCCAAACAAGGATTGACGTGTTTTAGAGGACGATGAAATTTTTTACATGGAATTTTTTATTCGGAGTAACAAAAACATTTGCGACTCAAATGAAATAATTTGACTGGCTGACTATTTTCTTTCTTGGGTAAAGCTTCTGATCGTGTGTATCCACAAACTAACGATGCGTCTATAGTACTCGTCAGGCTGGATATAAGTTCTAGTAATTCGTTATGTCTTGTCAACTAACTAGCCAGAGGATATTATTATATTTGTTACAAAAACAAAAAGATTATTTCATAAGCGTAAACTCATCTCCTATCAAATCATCAACATTACGACGATATATAAAATGTAAATGACTTCGGTTCGCCACAATCTGTGTGTAACCAAATTGTTGATCATGATAGACACTCCATTTTGCACCTGTATACGTATCGAAATCTAAATTATGTCCTGCCATTCCAATTAATACATGTGTAACACCATCATCAACACATCGTTCGAGATACATTGGACATGATCGTTCATATGAATGAATATGTGCGAAAAGATTAAGATCAACACGATATTTGTAAAACATTGGTTCTAAAGAAAGATGTAACATTTCTGTGATTTTATTACCAATATCACGGACGACTGTGGTATACATTGGTCGATGTGAACCAACAATCAACCAAGGTGTACGTGTACGATTTACTGATCCAAGATCTTTTTCGATCCAGTCATATTGTGCTGATGAAGGAAGAAAATCATGTTCAGTTGAATAATAAACAACATGAATTGGACCAATTTCAAAACTATACCAAAACAATCCATTACCATTTGATGGCGAATGAAAACGATGTACCATTGGCACAGCACATTCACCACCTGAATCATATCCATAATTGCCCCATTCTGGTCGAAATCCACCAGGTCCTGGTGCACCACTAGGATCTTTGTCACCTCCTGTCACATGATCATATTCATGATTACCAATGCCAACCATATAAGGTACACGAGAAGCCATTGGTTCAATTTGCGTCATAAATGCATCCCAAAGTGCAGCGATGCCTCTCGCATAACTAATATCACCGATATGCAAAATACATGTTACATCATCAGTTAATACTCGTGCACGAACACGATCCATTGTCGATTTCGCGCCGGGATACACGGGTGAAACACCCATATCACCAAAAGCGATTAGATTCACTTGTGTATTTATATCTGTTGGACGATTTGTAAACGATCGTATCGAAGACCAACCATGTTCATCACTTCCGACACGATAGTAATAAATTGTTGATGGACGAAGATCTTGTAAAAGCATTGTATGCATATAACCAGGATCGATAAATGCTTGTGGTCCAGTTGTATTCGCTGGTCCTTCACACATATCTGATGCTCGATAGGTAATCGTTGTTCCTCGTACGTTCCATTGAAGTGAAGAAGGATCGAATCCATATTGACATTGTGGTACTACATTTGTTGAATTTGTAACAAATGAGATAAAAATTTGATCAATTCTATCACCATAAGCTAAATGAATTTGCTCGGGTGCATTGTAATTCATAGGTTCAACAGTCGGAGATCTGGCGATTAGACTATAATTACCAGAACAATGATTTTCTCGTGAATAATAACGAAATTCAAGTGGACGACGTAAATTGATCATTTTCCAAGACATCTTTGTTTGATTGACTTGTATAAATTCATAATCATAATAAGCACAAGCGCCTGAGAAAGAATGAAATTCACAACTAACAATGAAATCTATCGAATTTACCTGTGAATAGAGGAATTTCAATAAAATAAATGCCAATATAATCATCTGTACAATATATCAACGTTTCATTCCATGTCACAGTAATTTCTTCGTCACTCACATAAAGTGTTGATGAAACATATAAATCGTTAATATCTCTTCTAGATGATCGTAATGAAATACCTTTTGTTCGATTACATCCGTACGGACTTGGTCTATCTTCTAATGAACGATATTTATGAAAAGGTCGATGATAATCACTTCGAATAACACTGAACAATAAAACAAAAAGAATACACCAACGATACACCATTAGATAATATGATATTCTTATGAGAAAGATATCAAAGATAATATACTGATATCACGAGGAACAAAATGCACTTCATTCGTCATTTTACTTTATATTTTACTTTCTATCTTTGCTTATTTATTCGATTCCTGAGTTCGTGTATTTTATGTGTATGAAAAAAAAACACAGGAATTATCAATATTCACAAATAGCTCGTTTTCGAAGTTTTCTTTCGGAGATTATAGAATGAAAAATCATGTTAACCAACTATGATAGTTTATTCATTTTTTGAGTATAATAAGAAATCTTGTTTGTACTATTTCTGAAGTTTTCTCTCTCTATTTGTCATACAGTTCGATAGATAATGAATATTACCTTCAAATATTAAAATCTGTAATATTTACGTGCGTTTTGATAAGTTTTTGTTTCTTCCTTTCTTTTCCAACGACTAAAATTGTGCAGGTAATATCAACCAACAGAACTTAAGAGTTTCAACGCACGTGTTTAACGAATTATTCTCTATAACTGATAATTAAACGATATTAATCGATAGAAACACCATTTTCGTATTCATAGGCCATGGATGCGATTAAAATCAATTGCATAGCTCGCTCATCTGTACGAATATTAGTATTGTTACTTGAGCATAGTTTATCTTACACGTTATTTTCAAATCAAAAGCAAATCAGTCAACAGAAGATGATGAAATTTCATCAGTAGTTATTAACGAACCAAACAATGCAAATTCTGAGAAAACGATTTGTTATATTCGCGAAGGTGAATCAGCTGGTGATTACTCAGAAAAATGGACATTAACATGTGACTTCGTATATTTCTATTGGCAATGATATGTCTTCTTCTAATTCTAGCTATTCTAACCGGTACTTTTAGTCCAATTCTTTAGAAAGATTGGCGATTTTAGTTGTTACGATTGTATATTGTGCTGGATTACTTTGTCGACATTATTATCAAATAGATGAACATGGTGATGTCATCACCAATCATTCGAGTCTTTTTAAAGTCAATTATACGAAAAAAGTTCTACATTTCTTTTCCCTTGTATTACCTTTATTGACAACAAAAAACGAAACTCATCAATCGAAAACAGAAAATGTCTTCTACTTATGTTGGGATTATGACAACTGAGGCAACTAGTCCACACGTGTGCGATTCTGCATTTATTATTGGTGTTGGTGGATTTATTATTTTTCTAATCTCATATTTTGTATAGATAATCAATAGTTGAAGCTGGACGACATCTTCTGATATCGAAGTCGGACATTTATTGCAAGCACTCAATAGAATCGAATTCAAATCACCAATCTCGATCGAGTATCCTCCCAAGGAGAAAATTTATCTGATTTTTCGCATGTTACACGTGCACTTTGCTGAAAAATAACTTCGAATAGATGTGTAAACTAACGAGTATATCGACTATTTTTATTTTCAATTACTTAAATGAGTTAAACGAAGGAGTCTTTATTGAAATTTTTGTTAGAAAGGTTTCGTAAGATAAAATAAAACATCGTTGTGTTTGTTTTTAAGACAAAATAAGCCAATTAGAGTAATATTTGACGTTCTTGTTTCATAATTTCTCGAAATTGACCAAAATTAGCATCCGAATTTGAAATGAAATGACCTATGCTTTCCTTATCATTGGCTATATAATCAAAGTATTCATAATGTCTTTCATCTCCAGATCCATAAGCATAACATTGAATCGTGATACAAGAAGTCCCATATGGATCAACATATTTTAATTAATGTATTTGATTTAAATTCGGTAATAACCATGTATCTGTTCCTTCACGACAAATCTGTTCGAGTGGTTCACATTGATGTGCATTGAAACTCAACGTTGGGTAAAGACGAACTAAAATCTACCTGTAAAGCACTCGAATAAATGCGTATACATTGCTATGGTTGTGTATCAGACTGAAATGTCCTGGAGGCCAAACTTCGATGACATAAGTATGACTTGGTGCTATACTTTCTCGTTCACCAATTGTTATTCGTAAGTAAATGGCTCTGATATTCGGTTTTCCAAACCGATTGATTTGTTCGAGAAGTTTTTTATGATACCATCCGGCAGACAGACTAAACCAATATCGATGCCAGTTTTGATTGGTTTGTTGAATTGTATAAAGACAATTCGTTGATGAATGAGTTTGATCAGTGTACTTGTGCGTATTCTTATTCCATTCTCTTTAACCAAAAGAATGATTAATTCTACAAGTATGAGAATTTCATAGACAGCAGAACTTATATGGTTGATCGAAGTATTCAATGGCAACATTGTCTCTAGGACGATCATGTTTTGACCTGATATCTGTGATGTTAACTAAATTAAAACAACCAGACTAACGAATCGAATATAATGAAAAAGTGTCAAAACTGACCTATCTATTGCAGTTTACTTAGAGTTTTTATTTATCCTTGGTAGTTATCTTTGATCGAGTTGACGTTTTTCTTACATATGGGACAATGAGGTATTTCTTCATTAACATCTGCCAGATCAAATTTTGTAAATCCGACAGGTACGATAATAGTGCGATGCTCTGCTTTGCATCCCGCAGTTGTACATTCACCTTGAAGACATAAACCATGTTGATCTTTACATCATTGTATTTTAGTTGAAGACCACATCCTCACCCTTCTACGAACATAATTTATTATTACTTGCTCTTTTCCGATTTTGATAATCACATATGTTTATTTAATCTGTTGCGCATGATAGAGAAAAATGCTTTTAGAACAAAAAAAGGGAAATGAAACGTGCATAAAGGCTTTTTTAAATTAAACTTTCGATGTTGTTTCTTTATAATTTTGATCCAGCGGCTTTATCCAAATACCAAATGAGATCTTTGACTTGACCAATTGGATATTTCGTACTTTTATCTTGTAAAACTTCTTTCACAATTGTTGATTTACTTTCACCCGTCGCGACAACAATCTTGTATTTTGCTTGATTTATCGTATTCAATGTTAATGTCACACGTTCCGGTGGCGGTTTTGGCGAATCCTTAATCGATATGACCAAACCTTGTTCAATTTTCAAACCTGGATGATCAGGAAAAAGACTTGCCGTATGTCCATCAGGTCCCATACCAAGTAATAGAATATCAAATGACTAAAAGTAAAATTCCATTTCTTTTGTCTCAACGAAGAAGTTGAAGAACACTACTTTGTCATCTTCGTTCAATGTTTCTAATAGTTTATTTTCGTAATCTTGTGCACATTGTTCGACAGATGTTGCATCTGGATCGATTTTAATAACATTTTTTTCAGTTAATGGTAACTTGCGAAATAGTTTTGCTTGATAACTTGCATACGTTGAATCGTTGGATGTAAATGGAACGAATCGTTCATCAACGAAAAAGAATCGAAGACGAGCCCATGGTAATTGTAACCGAGGAAGATTTGTTGCTAATAAATCAATCAATGATCCACCGGATAAACCAATTGTGATTAATTGTTTCGTATTTATTAATTGTAAAACAATTTTCTCAAGTTGAAAACCGAGTTTTTCAGATAAAATTTCATTATCGTCAATTATATTGATATTTGATGATGACATTTCTTTCTAAAAATCTACAATTTATCAACAAATCTTTTTCAAACATACTTTCACAGAAATCTTCAGAAGAATTATAAGAATAAATAAAAATATTTGTTCAAAAGTCATTTATCTAAAACATACGATATTTCCCTAATAAAAATAGTTCATGAAAAGATGTTTATTTATTTATTCAGCTACATAATTCACTGTTTTACATTTTCAAAAAGAATTTTTCTTAGATTTTGATAACAATCTAATCTCAATTTCCCGTAACCAGTATAATCAAAATCTAATAATGAAACCCGCGATTGAACTAAAGACCAAAGTCCCCACAGAAGATGCGCAAGTGCAGAGAATTGATCGACTAGATGACATAATTTATCATCAATAGTTTGTTCCGACACTCCACGTGTCTGAAAATAAGTTTTTAACCATCGTTTCTGCTCATCACGTGTTGGATATAAATTAAAATCCGCATCATCAACACCAGCATATTCCACAAAATGATTCGCAATATCAAATAATGCGTAATTCATATGTGTGTATTCAAAATCGATGAATGATACTGTATCAGTTTTCTTATCATAAACGATATTTTTAATTAATAAATCATTATGACAAAAAACAAGATCTTGACCTATTTGAGGATTCGGTACTAAATCAGGAAGAATCACTTGTTCGATTATTTTCACGTCAGATTTGATCTGAGAGATATCGATAATTTGATGTTCGTCAATCAATTGAATAAATTTGTGTATCAGCGTGATAACATACGGTTTTTCATTTGTTTCTTTCAAAGGCACATTGTGAAATTGTGCGAGTTTAGCGGCGATCAATTTGGAAATATGTTCATCTCGTACCTCTTGTTTCGAACATGCTTTTCCAGCTGCAAATTCATAGATAAGTCCATTCTTAAATTGGATTAGGACACGTTGAGATAAAACTTTATTCTCCGATAATTTCATCATTGCATGAATTTCTGCATTGCGATCAATGAATAATTCGGTGTGTTCACCGAATAATTTGATGACTAATGCATCAGATTCGTCATCCGGTGTGCGAGTATTGAAAAGACCTAAAATCGAATTGGTGATACCTTCAGTAAATGTAACTAGACGCGTATTCGAAGCGTTCCAATCCGGTCGAATAATTGGTATAATTTCATAGATTTCATTGGAGATGTTCGATAAAGTTAAAGTTCGATTTTCCACAATGGGTTGCATAGTCATCTTGAAAAAAGAAATGAATATGTTGATAACAATCAATGATATGCTTCACAAGTTTTTCCTCTTCTATTTGATATTTACGTGCAATAAATACGAATGATATTTATGTGTTTTTATTCGATTATATTACCTTATATACTCTCTCTCCCTCTCCCTCGTTTTTTCTTATCAATATGAGAAAAAAATATGCACCTCCAGGGTGAAGTTTAAGTATAAACTTATCTTCAATCAGAAAGAGATGAGAGATTCTGCTCAGAAGTGAAACAAAGAGATATTCTTGTGATATTAGTAATGATAATATCTTTCGTTTATTGTCAAGGTTATTTAACAGCAAGAACAAAAATTCTGATTGGAAGAAGTTCCCGAACGATTTGCTTTAATTTTGATCGCTGATCTTTGATCACAGTCAAACCAGCTCGATGAGCAATATCGTAAAATTGTTCACCAGTTCGAACGTAATATTGATCATCAGGATCAAATTCGGGTTCTTGTCCGTTGGCAACACAATTGTCTTTGATTACAATTAAACCATTCTTTTTTAATGTTGATTTGAGTTTTCGTAAAAGTTGAACCAGATCATCACCATTCAGATAGCCAAGGACCCCTAAAAGAAAATACTTTGTTTTTATTTATCAAATCAATTTCTTGATATTACACTGTGCCCAAATAACATCGTATTTTGGAAAGTTCTCCAATTGTAAATTACCAATTGAACCAACAAATGCTTGACCGATTTTGTCTTTTTCATCATTCTCTTCAAACAAAGCTCGTGTTTGTTGACAATATTCTTCTAATAAATCATTGATGTCAATATGATCAAAATAACGAGATAGTAACGATTTTGTTACACGGCCAATGCCGCAACCTAATTCGAGACAATAGGACGAGCCCAATTTACCACTAAATTGCTAAAATATGAGAAGAAAATCATCGAGATAAGAAAGAACAATATTTTATTTTGTAAACAAACTTTCATTAACGTTTGTATCAATTGACTGGACTCTTGAATATCTGGATCATGCACTTGTGTATATCCGCCTAGCATTGTATCAAATGTTTTTGGTCGTGATGAATAATAATCTTTTGTTATTGTTTGTCTTTCTTGAACATCTTCACGTTCACCTTCCATGCGTAGAGGTAATTCCGAACTTTCCTTCTTTTTCGACATGTTTTTCAAAAGAAAAGAAACTTTTCAACGTGGATACTTGTATCTGCTATTTCTTCTTACATATTCAATGGTGATTTTTCAACCAATACGAACGAATCATAAATATTTTATGAGAGGCAATACGTTGACAAAGGAAAGAAAAATGGATTACATCGATGAAATAGTTCAATTCATTTGAAAATTAAGAAAACAATCAAATTAGTGTGGTTTATTTATTCCATATTTGATTTTTTATTCTATTTAAAAATAATTCATTGTAAACGGATGAATCACACGTTGTTCTTATGAGTCAGTATGTCAGAAATGAATGATTGAATACATCTATATCAACGTTTGTAATAGAGATATAACGAATTACTTATCAGATTTATCAAACGATGAACATAGTTAGTGAATTATGAAATTTTGAGGTGAAATTTATCTGAACAGTAATTATTATGTTTAGATTTATCGCAAATTTTAAAGCTTTTTCATTGTTCTATCCACCGTATTAATAAAGTGAACGAATATCGATACGAGTACATGGATAAATTAGACTAAAAGTAACAGAACGCAAAAGAAATTGTATTGTCCAATACATTAAGAAGTCAAATGATATTACTGAGATCGGTACATGTGCTTTTACTAGCGAAAAGTAGAAAGTACTTAATAATATTGTAGTATTTCCATCGATACGGAATATGAGATCGGTCTACGTTTGTGTGCTAACCAACAGTTCGAATTCGCCCAATTAGTCAAATATCTATCGAACATTAATCAAAATGACTTTGTTTTCACGTCTCTATGCACCCTCAAGATGGCGTTCGAAACAGTGGCGGACATGTCAGACGAAGAATCGCACGTATGACAGATATTATTCTGACGGACATCAGACAATTCAAGAAAAGATCGCCCAAATTGAAATAGATGAAGCATATATAACCGAATAGTGAGGACGGAAAATAAAGAGACTTTAGCTGAGGTTCTTGACATGACAATAGAAAACGTATGAAGTCTACCATTGAAAAGAACTTGATTCATTTAGTATAACCGGTCTTTTTTTGTCATTCAGTATTCAATTAATCGAATCTTTTGTTTGTTTTTTTTGTTCTAGTTATTAAAAATCAAGACCAAACAAACGCAGTTGGCAAGTGATTATGTCGAGGCAAGAATAAAACTATCTCAATGTTCACCTCTTTATCAGCCCAATAGATGAATTTATCTGTACAGAAATATAGAGCAATTCTCAGATGAACTTAAAGTAATCACTGTAGAATTGCACAATTTAGAAGGGAATCTACCTTGAAACCTTACATTATTATAATTATTCTGATTCTTTTAAACATCCATGTCAATCAGAAACATGGAAAGCTGCACCTTATTAAATGTATATTCGATGATTCATTCGTTTTTGTTTTCTCAATGAAATCATTCGGTCATTCTTTTCAATCGTTGAAAGTCTTCTTACTATTACTCAAATTATTCATTATCTTGTTGAATTTTGTTGATTAATAAATTTGATCACTCAAAGTACATAACACTTTGTGAAAAAAGAAAAGACATCGATGAAAGAAAATTCTTCAAAGTAGCAATTTACTTATGTTTTCAATAAACCATTTCGATACAAACGAACCGAAAACGTAAATCAATCAATCACATCACATAATTCAATTCATTCTTTGGTTCTTGTGAATGGTATTTTAAAAACCAATGAAATTTTCGTAATGCATCAAATGAGGGGACACATCTTAACAGAAGAAACGAAAATGAAAGAGAAAATTCTATTCGAACATTTCGAAAATTTCAAAAACTCAAAATGACAAGTACAGGACAAATACCAACACCATGGAAAAGTACAGCTGCAACTTTATTCAATCCATATTTGAATATCAATCAAAGATCCAATACAACTCGTCAACAATCCGGTCGAACACGAACATCGACTGCAACTACTCAACAAGGACGAGTTCCACCAGAAAGTCTTGTTGCTACTAATAATCTCAAAGTGACTTCATCAGAATCACAAAAACGACCACGATCGAAACATTTTCCAAGTTCAAATGCTGCAGAAGAAGTGTCAATTTACGTTCAACAAATGATTCATTGTCAAAATGATCTTGAAAATGAAGAGAATCTATTGAATCGTACAATGAGTACAGTAAATGAAAGAAATTCCAATCGAAAAAGAATTCCTCTAACGAGAGAACAGACACGAGGTGAAAATTTTCACTAACAAAAGATTTCTTTTTTTTCCAATGAAAATATTTTAGTGTCATCTTACGAATTAGATGAATTTTTCAATTCAACAAATGATCAAATGTCGCATTTTGCATCAACACTACTTTCTCACGAATCAGATTTTTACAAACATTGTCCTCATCGGAAAGAAAGGTTCGTTTGATTTTTGAAAAGAAAAAGAAAAGAAAAAGTTGAAACTTGATTATGGAAACAAAACTTTATATTGTCTTTAGTCCAAAATATAAACCAAATAGAAAACGATCAGGTTTCACATTGGCTGATATGTGTAATGTAGCTTCCAATATAGGAGATAAAATGATTCAGAGTAGAGAAAAGGTATTTTTTTCAATCAAAATAATGTGTGTAACTAACGAAATCTAATAGTTTTTTCTTGAATTTATTCACTTTTCTTCAAACTTATTCATGTCGGTGTGATTGATTATGTTGGTCTCGAAGCGATTCGTGGTTTTCGTTTACCGTCAGCACGATTAACCTATGAAACACATGAACATTATCCAACTGATCCATCACTTCTTCTTGGTCAACCTGTTAATAAGTAGATTGATCGATTTTTGAACAAAAAAATTATTACCGTGACTTAATTTTTAGCGATCGAATTCACCTATGTGATGTGTTAGCTGATGATAACTATTCTCGGGAAGCAATGGTTGAATTTGTTGATCAGAATGTCCTCGATGAACGGACTTCACGAGCAAGTCGAAATCATCCGAAATCAGCAACATCAACACAATCAAAGATTATTGAATTAAAAGATTGGAGAGGAAAAATTACACAAGGAAATCTTCCTGAGTGGGAATTTTCAATTTTTGATAATTTTTATATTTAACTTTGTTTTTTCACTCTAGTATACGAAGTCAATCAAGACGACAACGCGCCGAATCGGTTGAATCTCCACAACGGCCCTGTACGGCTGCCAGTAATTTATCGAAATCACGACCTGAATCCATCGACGAACTTCTTGATGACGATGAAAGAGAAGAAGAAATCGTTAGTTTAGCTTGTTTTTGATTGGAGTTTGTTCTTTGTTCTGTTTTTCATAGAAAATTGTCAAATCTGAAAATGCTCGTAGTGCACCGGTCGGTTCCGCATTGAAGAATCGATCAAATTCTCAACAACGACAACGCAGTTATCCGCTCAATGTCCGAATTGACGATACAAACACTAAGCCTAGTGTTAATCAAGTAAAAATATCTCTTTTTATCCTTTCTCAATCGAATATATTTCTTCTTTTCTTTCTAAGAACACCAACAGAGCAGAATATCCCGACGAGAATCGTCAGTAAAATAACTAACATATTCAAGTAAAACTTTGTATGTTCTAGACGATCCATCGGCTTTCACATCTTCAAATGAAAATCGATTGGATCAAGAGAAATTCAATGAAATTATTCGTCCATCATCAGAATCTATTCTTTCCAGACGTACAACACCTGCGGGAATGTTTGCACAAGAGTCTCCACGAGAGAATCTCGCACCAGATTCCACACCGAATAGACGTAGTTATAAATTAATACGAAGTTCAACTAGTTATGTTTATCGAACAATTCCTGAAATCAGTGAAAATCCAATTTCATTGAATGAACAGTTTTCGCAATTATCACTTCCACAGTTAGAACTTTTGGAACATTACGATCCATTAATAAGCACGAAAATTGGCGCACCATTTATTCCTGTTCAAATGCTAGCGAGACCACGTGATGCTCAACTTTCCGCAAAGCGTTCAGCGGAAGAAATCGAACGAGATTATCCAAAGTAATCAACCATTCCTTAAGAATCAAGTCTTGAATGGTTTTCTTTAGGAAAAATGGTCAACCTGTGTTCGAAAATCCTTCCGCACGTGCAACTAATAGTATCATTGAAATTGCTCAGACACTTCAAGCAAGTAAATCAAAACGAATACCTGTAGAACGACAAACAACATTCGAAAGACCAGATAATGAAGAACCAGTTGAAGAAAGTCTACATATTAAATCTATTGAAAATCCCAATCGATTAGCTATCGAGCTTTATACACCACCAAAGCAAAATTTAGTTGTTCAAACTACCAATTCATCGAAATTATCAACAAAACAAAATTCAAGTCTATCGGATTATCTTTCAATTTTAGACAAACAATCAACTGCCATTGAATCGTAAGAACGAATCTATATCTTCTTTTCCAATTAATTTTTTTAACACTTCTAGTTCGAAAATTGACGAATCAACGAAGTCGAATCTGAGTGTTATCAACATTCGAACACAACAAGGTGATGAATTGATACTTTTCCATGTCATTAACTATAATTTTCTTTTACAGAAGTTGATCAAGTTCGTCCACGAAAGAAACCTTCACAAAAACGACTAACATTTCCCACAACGATTGTTACAAATATTAAATCAAATCCTAAATCACAAGGAAGACCTATACCAAGTGTCTTTCTTACACAAGATCCAGTATGACTTTTCCTTTTCTCTTTGATCTTCATCAGAAATACTTTTAGGATGAATTGAATTACTCAACATCTGTTTATCGTAAAGCAAAAACTGATGTGAATATCAAACGTGTATTCAAAGGATATGTTAAAGAAAATCTTTATCGAAAATTATCCGCGGATGAAAGACGAAAACGTGAAGAAGAGCAACAAGCTGCTGTCAAAATTCAGCGGTAATATATAAACGATTTTCGGTATAAGAAAACGTTAAGATCTTTAGAGCTTATCGAGAACATTTACAACGACGAAACGAAATTGAGAATCGTCGACCTTCATCGAGTGAAAAACGGGAACGAGAAAAACTTCGTCGTCAAGTTCTATCAGCAAAACGGGCACAATATGTCGAACAGAAATTAACCGAACAAAACAGGTTCTATTTCTATATTTCATACGATCATCTCTATTCTTTTTTATGCATAGAATTCGAGATGCAAATAAACAATTAAAACAATTGGTTAGAGATACTGGACCGTCGGTTGAAGTATTTGGGTAAGTTATTGTTAAAAAGGAGAGAGAGAGAGAGAGAGAGAAAGAAAGTGCTTCTTTAGACAATTTAATCAAGTCGAAGAACAATTTTCTAAGGCAACACTCAATCGAGCTGCTACGTGCATTCAACGATGGTGGAAAGGTTTTTTTGTTCGACATCGAGCGAAATCTCTGAAAGAAGAGGTTAGTTTCTCCTTCTGAATATTTTCCTTTACTTGAAATTCGATCGTTTAGGTTGCGACATTTGGATCAACATGGTCACAATTTATTTCGCATTATCGCGATGTCATTCGACGAATACAGGAGTTACGTGAATCAAAAAACCGACAGTTTCATTTTACTCGTGACCAAGCGAAAGATTTTCTAACAACGGAAAAAAGTCTATTGTCTTCCGAGAAAATTCTGCAATGAATTTCCTTTGTTTTTCTATTTGAATAGAATTGACAACTATTTATAATTCAATGGCTTTCAATGATAAATTCGATAAAGAAGAAATTGAACATTTCTTTGAATGTTGTGATTTATCAGCCACATCAGGTGAAATTCAACAGGCCTTAGCAGCCGTTCTTAAATGTAAGATAAGTTCTCATCTGACTTTTTATTTTCAAAAAACATTTTTCCTTTCTTTAGATCATCCTCGTAGAACTGATGGATTAACGAAAGAAATGGTTTTCGACACTGTTTACTACATTTATCCACCATTAGGCACTGGTTTAGAATCAACAAGACAATCAACATGGGTTCGACCAATTATTGATGGAGAAGATGAAACGGCCATTCAAGGTAAGACAGTCAATCACTTCGATTGAATTTCTTCGATTGAGAGATTTTCTTTTAGGAACATCTTTCCTGGAACCAATCGATATGAACGTTGTTTATAAATTCTTGGGTAAACCACATTGATTTTTTCGGATTAGAGATTTTATTTTTACTTGAAGAAATTTCTGCTTCATCTTTTTTCTATGATATAAATAAAAACAATCAGTTCAAATAAGAATTCAGTATGAATAATGTGCTTTGACTTTGACGAGTTGATTTTGATCATTGAATTCAAAGTATTCCATTGCAATCATGTTATTCACACTTTTATAATGAATGATCAATGAATTAACTGATATGGAAGTACTCAAAAATTCAAAATGTAAATCAGGAAATTTTTTCAACGCTCGAATAAAATAATCTTCTAAATCTTTTTTATTTGAAATTGTTCCAGTTGGATCATTGTTGAATTGAACTATTAATGGCGATGTAAAACTAATCGAATCATCATAATGACTCATTATCTTCTGAATATCATGACTATTCCATGAATCAATCCAATCATTTGTAAATTGATTTGCGAATTCTTTATTAAACATTTTCTGTTCAAATCGAAGAATGATTTAACAAAAGATTTGTCAACCATCAATGAATTTCAAATCTTACTTTGCCTCTTTTTCAAAAATAAACAGAGGGCGTTTAACATCGACATGTACTGAAAGAAACTGATTGAGTGAAACTTTTCTAAAGAAACCAAATTGAATGAGATAACAAAATCCGAATAGTATTCATCTTAGAAAAAATGTTTTCAATATAAGAAAATGTGCAAAATAACAAATGTTTTGCGTTATGACACTCAATATCAGATGAAAAAAACAATATGCAAATGAATTGACGTTTAATCAATTAAAAATAATGATATTTTCTCGAACCTTAGTCATATCTTTTGCATAAAAAATACCTATAGTCAAATCGATTTGACTCAGTAAATGACCTGTATTTGTCGTGTTTCTCTTTTCTTTTCGAATGACGTTGTTTTGAATGTGATGATGAATTAGATAAAAAGAAAATTTTGGATAAAATCTGATCATGACAGTGGTGATGAAGAGGAGGATGTACAGGAGAGGAAAAAAAATTTTTCACCTATGAATATCGACATAAATATGTCCAGTTTGTTTTCTTTCTCATAATTAAATAAAAATATTCGTTTTAAATGGTAGAAGTCATGGCTCAAAACACTCATCCATATTTACGTGTTGAAATATTGAAATTTCAAATTAATAATTCTAAACAAACCATTGATTTAAGTCAAGTGAAAACAGAAATTGAAATTATAGAAAAAACACAATCTACACAAACATGTATGTCTGATCTATATGAAACAGATTCATCTTAATTATTTTTCTCTTTAGCACGAATAAAAAAACCAGTTTACAATGAAACAAATCAATGTATTCGATTCGATGTTGGATTATTTATTAACATTGAACGAAAAATTACTATTCGAATCAATTATAAGGATATTCTATACACACTTGAAACGGATTTGAAATCTCTTAAAAAACTAGCAGATGGATTTCGACATCAAGTAAAACATTTGATTTATTTCTCTTGTGATAAATTTCTTTTCTTTAAAGTTTAATTTCACACCGAAATCTCAAATAGAAATGATCATTGAGTACAAAGGTTATTAAACATTTTACCCAAACGATGTTTATATTCTATATTGAAAATAGATCCATCGGTTCCATCGGAATCTCGAACCCCAGTTAAAATCCATGGACAACGTTATGCTGAACGATATCAAAAAATTTATAAACATTTTGGTCATCGATTTGTTGCGAAAATTTTCAAAACGCCAACATTCTGTTCGATTTGTAGTGAAATTCTTTGGTATAAAACATCTGATTTTTCGATATAAACAAAAAGAATCTTCTTCTTTCTTCAGGGGTTTCACTCATAAAGGTTTTCAATGTCAACGATGTGATTGTGTTGTACACAAAGATTGTTACGATCATTGTAACCATCCATGTATAGGAAAGAAATATCCTGATGTAAGAAATATCCTATTGAATCGATTCCGAATCTTTGAAATTGAGAATTTAGCTGGATGTGACCAAAGCGCATCAGTTCGAACATCAAAACTTTTCTCTACAAACAATTTTCTGCGATCATGATGGAAGTTTTATTCGACCTGGTCATGCTTATCGATGCACTGGTATATTCTCAAAGAAAATTTGAGTGTTTTCAATGATAAAATTGATTTAGAATGTTCAATGGTTGTTCATCGACGTTGTCGATCGAAAGCTGGCGACTATTGTGGTTGTAAAGAGAAATCTATTGAAGCTTATGAACAGTGGAAAACAGATGTAAGTGAATTGATTGAAAAAGAAATAAAAATATTTTAATTTTCATCATTTGTGTTTAGCATAAATCAGATGGTGAATACAATTATCAATATAATGAAGATTTGTGTGAAATTTATTCGAAATTAACTAAATTAAATCAACCAGATGAAGCACAAGAAGCGATTCAACGTGTATCGAAAGTTTATTCACCAAATATCACTGCTGGTTTTGATTTGAATCAAATTCAAATTTTAGAAATTTTAGGTCGAGGAATGACTGGATCGGTAGATGTCAAATATTTTCTTCTCTTCGTATTTAGTTTTGATTGATTTTGTAGGTATATTTGGTGAAACATGATGAATCGTTTTATGCAATGAAAACTCTTCGTAAAAATTTGGTTTTGGAAGGTCAAAATTTGAATTATATCCGGTCGGAACGCGATATTCTCGTTCGTTGTCTATCAAATCCATTTATCGTTCAGCTTTTTTATGCATTTCAAAATGTTGAACGATTATTTTTCCTCATGGAAGTTGCTCGAGCTGGAAGTCTATTCAATCTACTTGAATATCAAGCTCCGAAACCATTTCGACATGAGCGAATCGTTTTCTTCACAGGTGAAGTGGCATGTGCATTGATGTTTCTCCATTCCAAACGAATTGTACGTAAAATAAAGATCATCAATCGAGAAATTTTCATTCCATTGTAGGTCTATCGTGATCTTAAACCAGAAAATATCTTTGTTTTTCATGATGGACACGTCAAACTTGGAGATTTCGGTTTGGCAAAGAAAGGTGTTGATGAAAATCATAAAACAAAAACATTGTGTGGAACAGCAGAATATATAGCCTATGAAATTTATAATAAAGATTCTTATGATGAAAATGTTGATTGGTGGTCATTGGGAATTCTAATTTTTGAATTGACAACATTTCGAACGCCGTTCTATGCAAATAATAGTACAGATATTACAAAAAATGTTCTTTCAAATCAAGTGATTTATCCAGAAACAATGAGAGAAGAATTTCAACAAATTATTTCAGGTTTACTCGAACGAGATCCGAAAAAGAGATTAGGAAATCCAAATTCTCCTCATGGCCTTCTAAAAGATCAACCATTCTTTCAGTAAATTAAAACCTTGTACTCATTTCCAATGATAAATATTGTTCTTCTAGGGAACCATATTCTTTGGATGCGATTAAAACACGTCGTGTTACACCTCCATGGACTCCCATTGTATGTATATATGAATCTATTTTCCTAACAATACTTTTTCAATTGAATTTTAGTCATTAGTACCATTGAAAGCGACAAGTAAAGCTCCAAAACTGTCTGAACTTGATCCTAAAGATGCAGTGCTGTTATTATCATCGCCACCCGATGCTTTTCGTTATTTTTCATATGTTAGTCCGAATGCTACGAAGCTTTTTTAAAAAAAGATTTTCATATACATACATAAATTATCTTTACTTTTCTTCTTTTGAATACATATCTTAAAGGTGAAAGCGTATTTATTCTTTACCGATTGATTCAAATTCATCCAGAGCAATTAAAACTGTAGATCTTTCCAACGCAAGAAACATCTGGAACGTAGGGACGCTTAATCGTTGAAAAGCTGAGCACTTTAAGCTACAAGCTTCAACACATGATGTGACGTCAAATACTTTGAAAACTTTATTATAAGATAAAATATACTTTTATGTGAAGAAAGTTTGATTTTGATCTGATAGAGGTTATGTTTACAGATTTACTGATCACTTCTGTTGACTTAGAAAAGAAAAGAAAATTGTTATTTAGTATAACGTCTTTATGATTCAATTGTCTTTCTTTGAAAACCATTACTTTGATTTTAGCTATGATTGTTCTCAAATTACTTTTTTGACCGGAAAAAACGATGACTTAAGAGCGGGTCTATTAGAATACTGGCCATATCGACTGCAGAAAATTTTCAGATTTTCAATTTGACCCTCTCAGTAGAAAGTCCATGAAAAGTTACTGTGAAAACCAAACTATCAGCTCATTCTGATATGTCTTTGCAAAAATAATTGACACATCAATCTCTCAACTTTTGGAATCAGTCTACCAACTGAGTTTTTCAGTTGAAATCGTATGCGGCGATTTTCTCGTTCATATTTCACGTGTTTGAGGTGCGGATTGTCTCAGATGACAGAATGTCTTTCTCTACCAAATGAACTATTTGTAATATTTTTAATGCATATTTTATATAGAATTTGTATGAAAAAAAAACGAAATTCGACAGAAAAAAGTGAAGAAATTTAGTGATCAAATATCATTGCCGTTCAGCAATGTCATACTAGATCAAGGGGTCCCAAGCTGGATTTTTTATATGTTGTAGCCCTGCTCGGGGCGCATCTTTTGGTATGTTTCTCCTTACAAAATATCTCGACCCGACCATAAAATTTTTCATCACGAAAATTTGAAAAGATCCTTAGTTTTCTCCTCTGACGTGAAATAACCGAATTATGTGGATAGTTTGAAGTTTTCTTATGAAAAAGACAGCATGAAAAGCCGATTATGTGTGACACATTTCATGGACCATTGAATGGATCGGTGTTAGCTAACGTAGTAGGATACCTGTGGGCAGGATTCAACATTTTATTGAGCCGATTGGTTTCAACGTAGGTTCCAGTTGAACCAACACTGGTTTCAAGAACAATTTCATGAGTTCTAAGCGGTTCTCAATCATAAAATTTTTTACTCACACCCTCACTCCATTATTATTTATATTTATCCAAAACGATAACCTCTCTAGATCACGTTATATTGAAATGGGCATCTTGATACTATTCGATTCTTCTTTTAACTAAACGATTTACTCATGCGCTATTTGCGCTTTACATATAAGAATATATGACGATTTTCGATGGAAGACATGTGTGCGCTGATGGAGCTACGTCTTCATTTATTTCTTTCTCTCTCAAATCGCATCGTATTGATATAAAACACGCGTTTGTATACTCATGCACCGAGGTAACGACAAATAGCATGCGTCCAACGCATGCAACCAAGTTCGTCACAGAATAGTTCAATTTTCTATTCCAGACTGCTAGATTGAAACTGGTTTGGTCGTAGATTGCACATCTATAATGCTTTCGATGAGAACAGATATTCACTGGTAAAAATTGGACTTTTCTCAAAATACAGCAAGGCGTTTA